CATAATCAATACATGGAGCAAAAAATGTAAGCAATATAAATAGGTAAACATTGAGGAAGGAAAAGCCTCTGAAAATGAAAATGAAAATCCCCCATAATATACTGCCTTACCCCCAACCCAGCATAACCACAGTTATCTGGTCTGAATAAAATCTAGCCAGATTTGTTTAATACACATACAATATACATACATAATATGTGTTTTAAGCCACAATGCTTGTGGTAGCTTGTCACAGTAGCAATAGAAAACGCATACACCAACTACTTCTTTACTGTATTAATTTGGAAACTGTATAGTCTTTCCATTATCTTAGTGATTACCCTATAAATTTTAACATTTATTTTTAACTTAGTAAAGTCTAAACTTAGTCAATATATGTCTTATTAGGTGTCACATCCACCTATTATTTCTATCTTGCTCATACCCCATGACTTATCATTCTGGATTCTTATAGTTAGTGTTCATCTAGATTTACCCACATATTTATCATTTTTTTGCTCATCATTCTGGCATCTCTGACTGTTCACTTGGGAACAGTTTCTTTCTGTTTGAGATATATCTTTTAGAATTTCCTTTAGTGAGGGCAAGTTCCCTAAATGTTGATCTGTTTGAAAGTGTCTTTATTTTCACCTTGCCCTTGAAAGATTTTTATAAATATATAATTGGGTATATAATCGCATATTGAAAGTTGTTTTCCTTCTACATATTGAAGATATAAATCCACTGTCTTCTGACTTTTATTGATGCTCTTGAGAAGTCACTTTAGAGTCTAATTGTCACTGTAGACTGATCTCTTATCAATTTTGGAAAACTCTCAGCTACTATCTTTTTAGGAACGGATTTTTAGGGGGGAGGTAATTATATTTACTTATTTATTTTTTAGAGGAGGTACTGGGGATTGAACTCAGGACCTCATGCATGCTAAGCATGCGCTCTACCACTTGAGCTACACCCTCCCTCCCAGCTATTACCTTTTTAAATACTGCCATTGTTCCATTTTCTCTGTCACCTTCTACTAGAATTCTGCTTAAGATGTATGCTAGACCTGCTTATTCTATCACCCTACCTTTTAACCTCTTTGGAATTTCCATGGCCTTGGCTTTTGGCTCTACATTCTCAATTATCTCTCAGATTAGTCTTCTAGTCTATGAATTCTATCTTAAGCCAAGTCTCATCTTCTGTTAAACTCACTTATTAAGTATTTATTAACAATTTTTATATTTTTCATTCCTAGAAGTTCTGATAGAGTCTTTTTAAAATCTGCTTTGTCATTTTAGATTCTCCTGCTCTTTACTTATATGTTCCATTCCTCTGTTATGGCTTGAATTGTTTCCCCTCAAAATTTGTATGTTGAAGTCCTAACCCCCAGTACCTCAGAACGTGATATTATTTGGAGATAGGGGCTTTACAGAAGTAAGCAAGTTACATAAGATCACTAGGTTGAGCCTAATCCAATATGACTAGTGTCTTTATAAAAACAGGAAATTTGGACACAGAAACATGCAGAGAGGGAAGATAATGTGAAGGACACAGAGAGTAGATAGCCATCTACAAGCCAAGGAGAGAGGTCTGGAAAGATCCTTTCCTGACAGTCCTTCAGAAGGAACCAATCTTGCAAACAACTTGATTTTGGACTTCCAGCCTCCAGAACTGTGAGACAATAAATTTCTTTTGTTTAATCCACCCAGTCTGTGGTACTTTCTTACGGCGGCCCTAGTAAACTAATATACCTTCTTTTGTTACTTTAATTATATAGTTATTTTATAGTCTATGTCTGATCATATTAATATAGGAAATGTTATGGGTTTGATTCTGTTTGTTGTTTCTTATGGCTCTTGGTAGTAGTGTCTTGTTTGCTTGTGTGTTCTGTGATTTTTTTCCACTATTAGCTCTTACATCTTGGAATTTTATTTGTGGGTCAAAAGGTGGCTTACACCAGAGTGGATTTATATTCACTTCTTTCAGGCACCTGGGTCGCAAGAATCTGGGACCATTTAAGGTAAATCCTTGAGGTATTTTTGAAACACACTGGAGATGTGATTTCAGGCTGCATGATGGCAGGTATGCCTCTGCCTTAGGGCCTCTACACTTCCTATTCCCTCTGCCTGGCATACTGTTCTTCAAACACACTTTCATTTTCTTCATCTCTGCTTAAATGGCACCCTATCATTGAGGCCTTCCCTACTCACCCTACATCCCACAGGCCACTCTTTGTTTCCTTACCCTGCCTTATTTTATCTACAGCACTTAAGCATTTATCAACAGAGGAGATAGCTGTATAACTATATTTATATATACAATATGATATATGTTATATATAGCATCATATATAACATTTTATACATTATATATATCATATTCTATCTATCTCTTATCCTCCAGTGACAAGTACCTAAGTGTTGTGGGTGAAAGTAAAGCAACAAAACAGACAAAAAAGTCCCTGCCTTCATGGAGAGATGGATAACAAAAAGTTACATATATTGCATTAATGTTTTTTATTTTATTTTTATTATAATCAAAATACCTAAATAATACATAGTAGTATTATATATAATGTATACTTTTTTAGTATCCATCACTCCATGAAGGCAGGGATTTTTTGTCTGCTTTATTCACTGCAGAATCCTCAAAATTGTGCCTGCCATGTACTATTTGTTGAATAAAGATTTGCTGAATATGAAGAATTGTCTATCCACACTCTGGGACATTTTTAGGAAATTCTCCACTCTTGCTGTGTCACTGACTCCACAGGAGGCCAGACTCCAGAAGCTTGACTACAGCAACCTCAGCAAACATGGACACTCCACTATTGCCTACTCTTCACTTCAAGTGCATCTGTCAAACTCAAGTTATTCACACTGCAGTTTTAAGAACATGTCCTACTCAAGGTGAGCAAAGACTGCTGACATAAACCTGGGAGCAAAAAGTCTTCACTCTTATTGTAAGAATGAAGTAGAAACAAAACCACCTCTGCTCAATGGACAGTAAAGGGAATTACTTATCTTAAATCATGGTATTAAGTGGAAAGGTAAGGAAAAAAGTCCTCTGAATATTTATAGCCACAGGCCTGCCATCATGTTTCTTTTCAGCCTCAAATCCATCTCCCAAGTATTACAGATTATCAACATTATGGATATCAGGATTATGCTATCTTCCTGAAAACCCTTTGGAAGCACCCTGTCTTTGCTATGCTCTGAGACACAAGTAATACATCCAAAACAGTACAAGGCAGTCAGGGCCCCATAATGAGATATTAAAAGACATAAAAGCAATGAAAACAGGATGCACAACAGGAAATATGCTAAGATACCTAAGACTAATTAGATCTGTCATACTTACAAGCAAAATTGGGCTAAACAGTAGGATCTACCTATCAAAAAATAGAATACAGTCAGATTGGACCACAAATGGCTAAGACTCTTCTCAGATTAATACATAGCCCAAAATATACCTATAAATAAAACAGGAATTGTTAGATTAATTGATTTACACATTCAACTAAAGAAGTTAGAAAGAGAAAAAATAGAAAAGTGGATGGAAGGATTTTAATGAAATAAAAGCACAAATGAATGAATCAGAAAACAGAAAAATGATATAAAGGCAAGAAATGGTCTTAGGTTAGGGGCATAAAATAAATAATACATTAGCTTTAGTTTATCTAATTGAGGGAAAAGAAATCACAAACACACTCTATGAGAATAATACTGAAGAAATAACTACATATATAGAGAAAATTAAGTGAATCGTAAGAGAATACCTATTCAAAATTTCACAAATAAATTAAGAAACTTGAGGAAATTGATGATTTTTATGAAAATTACAATGTAAATAAATATATAATCTAAACAAAGAAAACATGAGGGAAGAAATAGAGAAGGATGACAAAGAGATATTCTTCAAATAATGCACCATGCCCAAATATATCCATAAGAGAATTCTACAAAATCTTTAAGGACCAAACAACATCAAAGCAGTGTTAATTGTTCCAGATATGTTTATTCTGTGTAGGGGATAAGATACTTTGAGGGTGAGCAAATCCATTCCTTATTTACAGTAATGAAAACACTCTGAGGGAGGGAACCTTAACTGAAAAGACACCTGCACCTCAATGTTCATAGTAGCACTATTTACAATAGCCAAGAAATGGAAACAACCTAAATGTCCAACAGATGACTGGATAAAGAAGTTGTGGTATATTTATACAATGG